CGTTGACACACAAAATTAACCATCATAATATGTTTTGGACCCATTTGCTTCCTCTTCCGTGAAATTGATGTTCAGTGTTTTTTTTTTTTTTATATTTTTGCACTTTTTTGTTGATTTATATATCCTTTTCTTTTTGATTCATAAGAATTTTTTGAAATTCTGGATACTAATTCTTTATTTTTGTGTTGCAAATTTCTAATTTGAGACTTGTCATTTCACTATCTGTTGTGTCTTTTCATGAACAGGAATTCTTAACTCTGATGTAGTAGCATTTGTTAATGGTTAATGCTCTCTGCGACATGTTAAGATTCCTTCTCTACCTTAAAGTGATGAAGATAATCTCCCGTGGTATCTTTTTTAAAGTTTAAAAAATTATTTTTTAATTTTTTTGTTTTGCCTTTCATCTTTAGGTCTTAAATCTACCTGATTTTTCTAAAAACCTGGTTTTTGTTATGGTATGAGGTAGGAGTCCAATTTCTTTTTTTTCTCTCTCTCTGTATTTGGATACCCAATTATTTCAGCACCATTTATGAAAAAGGCCATCTTTTCCTCTGCTGTTCTGTGTTACTGGCTTTGTCATAAGACAAGGGTCAGTATATTTCTATTTATGGACTCTCTATTCTATTTCATTTGCCTGTTTGGCTATCCTTGGTCAATACCACGCTGTCTTAATTACTTTAGTTTTTAAAGTCTTTATATCGGATAGGGCAAGTCCTCCATCTCATTCATCTGCAGAGTGTTTTAGCTATTCTTGGACCTTTACACTTCCATCTAAATCTTTTTTGTTTGTTTTCATTCTTTTTTGGACTTTGAGTGCAGAGGATTGAGCTGATTATACTTCTCAGTTCATGTTGTATTATTATCACTGGTCTGTATAAGGCTCTGCTCCTGTATTTTGTTTATTCATTCATTTATTTTTTTATTCATTCATCTCTGTTCTTCACTCCAATTCTCTTCCCTGCATGAGTTACCACCTAATCTTTCTTAATGTATCTTTTTATTAATGTGTGTTCTTTCAAAATGTGTACTGAAGTATTTTGTACCTGTATTTATAATTCACATCCGTGGTATTGTGGTTAACCCCTCTTGGTTTCTAACTTTTGCACCTACCCTATGTTTCAAAGACTCCTATCATTCATCCAGTCAGCTGTTTATAGCTGTCATGTAGCCCTCCATGGCCTGCATACATGGTTTACCAACTTGCTTCTCTAGTGATGGACACCAGATTGTCTCCAAATACTGCTGCATTGAACATCTTTGTGTGTGTCCCTTCGTGGACACTGTGAGGTTCTTTTTAGGGATATGAACCCAGGAGTGGACTCGCTGAGACATAGGTTAGCAGCACCTAATTTAACTAAGCAGCACCAGACCGAAGTCCGGAATGACCACACCAGTCTGCACGCTCCCCAGCAGGACCCGTGTGTGTCTGCTTCCAGACCAGTGTCGGACATCGTCCAGCTTTCCAATTTCTGCCAAATGAATATGTGTAAAATCATTTCCATGTACATTACCCTGGTTACTAATGAGTTTGCTGATTCCCTTTTGTGACTTCTTCTTTTGTAATTATGAATTGCCTGATCATGTTCTTTGCCTACTTTTCTATTGGGGCCACTGTAATTTTCTTAGTGATTTGCAGTTCCTTGTATTTCCTTGTAGATGTTACTCTTTTGTTAGTTTTAAAATTGCAGATATCATCTCTATTGCTTAATTTATCTGTTAGCTTTGTTCATAGTATCCTTTGTTGAACAAAAATTCTTAATACGAATGTAATAAAATTTATCAGTTTATCAGGGTTTTTTTCTCTCATGTCTGTGGTTCTTCCCACTTCTAGGTCACAGAGATATTTTCTACTATTTTCTTCTATTAACATTGTAGTTTCACCTTTTGCATTCAGTTCTTTAATCCATTTGCAGCTCAACTTTGTATGTGGTGTAATGTAGGATTTCCATTTTGTTTGTTTATTTTTAAGTGAAGTGAACAGTTTCCTGTATAAATGAAGGAAATTAACCTGGACATAGGGACTGCCATGTTGTTGGAAACAGAAATTTGAAACTCACTTGCTTTCAGAGCACTGGGACGTTGCCCCACGTGCCGTGGCTGCAGAGTAGGCTCTGACGGACTGGTGAGACATTGGTAAGGCTGCTGGGCCTTCGGGAATATTAGAAGGAAAAGCTTAACATATCAAAAATACCCACAAAAGAAACATTTATTAATCATTTATTATGTGCCAAGACTCACAATAACTCAGTGAGATAAGTACCATTATTATCCCCAATTTACAGATGAAGAAACTGAGGTACAGAGCGGTTCGGTTACTTACCCAAGATCACACAGCTAGTAAGTGATGGACCTGGGATTGGGCCTCAGACGGCCTGCCTCCAGAGCACATTATCCTAACATGTCACTTTGTCCTGTCACAAAAGCAGCCTGGCTGAAGTGGAAGTCTGTATCAGTGGCAGTTGAGAGGCGGGGTGGCACACGCCTGCAGTCCCAGCTGCTGGTGAGGCTGAGGTGGGAGGATTGCTTGAGCCCATGAGTTCCAAGGCCAGCCAGGGCAACTTACTGAGATACCATCTTCAGTAAATAAATTAATAAAGGTGTGACTCATACATGTTCCCATATATCTCTTAGATAAGCTTTAGATACACACAGATATTTTGAATCTAAATGACTGTGGTAAATCATTCTGTTGCTCGTGTTTGAAGGTCATTTCTACCATTGAGTCAGTTCCATGGATTCTAAGCCTGGTGGTCATTCCAGGGACCCTTCCACCTAAAACCACATAATATTTATCAAGCATTTTCTGCGAGTTAGTCACTGTTCTAATGTCACATGCATTAGTGCAGAGTTTCTCGACTTCTGCACTATTGACAGCTGGGCTGGAAAATTCTTTACTGTGGGGCTGCCCTGTGTAGCATCAGATGTTTGGCAGCATCACTGGCTTCTATGCACCAGATGCCAGTGGCCCTTCCCTCCCCTTTTGTGACCACGAAAAATGTCTCTAGATATTTCCAAATGGGCCCTTGGGGTAGAAATCACCCCTAGTTGAGAGTCACTGCATTAGTGCACTTAATTCTTCACAAAACCAGTGTGAGGTAACTGCTGTTATTATCACTTCCATTTCATCAATGAGGAAATGAGGCTGACATAGAAATAAAGTAACTTTCTCTAATTTACACCAAATAGGTGCTGTGACTGGCATTCAAATCCGGGCCTCGGACTCTACGTTTAACCATGAAACTCTTCTGCTTTCCAGCTACTTACTGATCTAAAGGGATTCTGTATAGTATGATTCCTTGGGCCCTCAGAAAATCTCAAAAACATTTTTTTTTGGCCTGATTCCTGCAGATACTGGGATCTGAAAAGTGGGAGTTGTGTACGAATCTTCAATGGCCACCAGGGGACAATCACTTGCATAGATTTATATAAGAACAGGCTCGCGTCGGGAGCAAGAGATTGTCAGGTGAAAGGTGAGAAAGAAATGCCTTAAATTTTCTAAGAAGTTTCCCCAAATCCATGGGTTACCAAAATGCTTGTTTTGCTCATTTCTATAGGCAGTCGTTTATTCTTTTATTCACCCATCCAGCCACACATACATATGTCCACCAACCTACCTGTTCGATGGCTCCTGAATTCCTACAGTGTGAGACATTCTCCTCTGACGAGGAGAAAGGGAACATGACACGGTCCCTTCAATGTGGCTTTTTATTTCTTCAAGAGGCTCACAGTCTCTCAGTGAAAGCAGATGCGTGAATATAGAATGGGGGATACAATAAATGCACGAATGGTAACAGCTGCCATTTACTGACAGGCACGGCAATAGTTGCTTTCTATATATTATCTTATTTCATCCTCACACGAGCTCCATGAGGTGGACGCAGATGAGGAATCCAAAACTCATGGAGAAAAACAACTCGCCCCAATCGAGCTGCTAAGTGGCGGTGGTGGTGGGAGGGATTCACACCCAAGACCACTGTCTCTAAGTCAAGTGCTCCTAACCGCATGCAGAGTTCTTAGGGACCATATGGATGAGAGTAAATTAGGGAAAGCTCCGCAGGCAGGGTGCTATTTGAGTGTGGTCTGGAGGTGTTGTTTGTGTGGCTGGACTGCCGGTTGTGGCGCTGGAGATGAGGCTGGTAAATCTGTGTGGGACCAGATTATAAAGGGCCTCTGCAGCATGGTACAAAACTGAGCTGTATCCTGTGGGTCATGGAAAGCCAGGAATGCATTTTAAGTTGGGGACTGACATGATTAAATGTGTATTTTAGAGAGATAACTCTAGTGACAGTTTGGAAGAAAGATTCAGAGAGGGTTGACTATGTGGAGGTAGGGGACAAGTTAAGATGCTATTTGGTCTAGACAACTGCCCTGGTGTCTTCTGAATATCTGAGAACAAGCAAGTGTGAAGAGACTGGACAGATGTGACTTTGCATTTAATGGGCCAGACCGAAGGGAGATCTCTCAGGGGGGAATTGGCAGGTTTTACCCCCAACTGGATAGGAAAGTGAGGAAGGTGGAGGAGCAGATGATAAGGCCACTGGGTATATGGAAAAGCCATTAGTGAAAGTAGGGACTCCAGGGGAAGAAGAGGGTAGGGGGAGAATGGGGAGGAGGTCACAGGTTCAATTTTGGACATGTTGGATGTGGTAGGCAGAATAATGGCCAACCAAAAATGTTTATGTCCTAATCCTTGAAATCTGTGACTATGTCATCTTGCCTGGCAAAAGGGATTTTACAGATGCGATCCAATTAAGACTTTAAAATGGGGAGATTATCCTGAGTTATTGGGGTGGGCCCAATGTAATCACGTGCATCCTTAAAAACACACACTCTGTCTGGGCTGTGATCAAAGGGAGATGTGAGCATGGAAGAATGGTCAGAGAGACACGACATTGTGGAGGAAGGGGCCATGAGCCAAGGAGTGTGGGCAGCCTCTGGAAGATGGGCAAGGAAATGGGTGCCCTCCCCCTGACCCTCCATGAAGTAAAGTGTCCCTACAGACACCTTGATTTTAGCCTTGTGAGATCACACTGGACTTCTATTAGATAGCACATCAGTGCTGTTTTTAGCCGCTAAGCTGTGGGCATTTGTCATAGCAGCCGTAAGAGAGCTAATATATTGAGGATGAGATTCCTGAGGGCACCCAGGTGAGGATTTCCAGAAGGCAGATGCAGGTGTGGATATATCGATCTGGGGTCCCAGATGCGTGGACCTGGTAGTTGTCAGTTATAGTGAAAGGTGGAAGCCCCAGGTGTGGATGAGGTTTACCCTAGAAGAATACCAGGGAACAGTGACAAGAGAAGCAGGGAACCCCGGGAGCCACAGCGCGTTAGGAGCAGGTGGAAGGAAGCGATGTGGGAAAGGGGAGGTCAAGTGGCGTCATACGCAAACCCGAGGAGCTGCTTAGGAAATCTCGCTGAACTTCCTCGCCCTCCTCGGCCTGACCAAATGGTCACGGCCATGACTGCTTTGAGGAGCGCCGCAGGAAGGGTGAGAGCCGCCGTGGTGAGGGTTGAGATGGAAAGGCAGCCACGGCTCCCCAGCAGGCTGGAAGAGTCTCCTGGGCCACCAGCAGGGCCAGGACTGGGGGGTGAGGAGTTAGGCTGCTGCCCCAGATGTAAAATTTAAGGAGGCACCGAAAAAACTCCTCAGTGATCAAGATACATGTTTCAGTGCAATATTTAAAAAGGCAAAATTGATGCACAAAATCCATGATGAACAAATTTCAAAATCTCTCTCGCTTCGCCCTAATCCTGGTCCTGGCCACCAGCCTGCCTAGATTACAAAAATAGGATGAACAAGGAGACTATTAGAGTCCTGAAAGATAACCCTTCGCTTTTACAATTCTTTAAAATTCACCTTACCAGTGAATCTTTTAATTCATCTTTCAATTTTCCCACTGGTAATTTTATAAATGGGCCAAGGTATATACATAAAAAATAAGTGAAGAAAAGGATACTTAGGTACTTAGAATTAACCCAGCATAAATGGTTAGGAGCATGGCCTCTGGGTCTAGACTCCCTGGGTTCAAATCCCAGCTCTGCCATGCACCACCTGTGGGACCTTCAGGAGGTAACTGAACCTTTCTATGCCTCAGTTCCCTCAACTTTGTAGTGGGGAATGATAATAGCACCTGTCTCATGAAGGCGAGTTAATCCATGCGTTGTTACTGTAACCAGCTCAAATGGTTCCTGGCTCGTTGTTAGTGCCACGTAAGTATCAGCCACAGTTATTATTTTGTCCCAGGCCACTCGTTCTCTTGCCTGAGGAGGAAGGTGCTTTGGGGACTGATGAAGCAGACTTTAATGTTTTCAGTCCTGAATTCAGGGTGCCCACTTTCAGATCCTTCCTTTTAGCTCTGTTCTCCCACGTGCCCTCCACACGCAACACCTGCAGTATGCGGAAGCTGCTCTAACACTGTCCGGGTGGAAGCAGCAGCTCCATAAAGTCCAAAAATCAGATTCAGAAATATTTAAAAACATAAGTGAAAGTCGACAACTTTCTTTTCTTTTGGCGATAGAAAGTGTGGGTCAGGAAGACAGCGTCTGGGAGGAATGACAACACCAAACGTGTGCCATGATTTCGTGAACTCTACCCTACAGCAAGCATTTTTTCAGGCTTGAGGAACAGGCTTATTGGAGAGGAGCTGTCTAGCACGCGGACCTAAGGCTAAGTTCTAGGTCAGAGCCAAGGTCTTCTGCATTGCCAGCTCTCCCGAGGGCCCACCCACAGCCGGGCAACTGTGTCGTAGGGATGTGGAGCTGGTGGTGAGCCTGCCCTGGGGGGTGCCAGGCCAAGCGGGGGCCTTCTAGAGTCTGATGTGATGGGCTGGGCTAGTCCTTGCTTCTGTGATGGGGATTGGAACTGCACTGGAACCGTTTCCCCTTCCCCTTGCCCCTCTCCCTCACCTCCCCTCACTTCCTGTCTCTTTTCCTGTCTCCTTTGCCTCTTCAGAATGGGATTTAGACACAGGGAAGTGCCTAAAGACATTTAAACACAAAGACCCCATCTTGGCCACCAGGATCAATGACACCTACATTGTGAGCAGCTGTGAACGAGGGATAGTTAAAGTGTGGCACGTTGCCATGGCGCAGCTTGTCAAGGTGAGAGGGTGGTGATGGATTGGAGGGGATGGAGGGGATCCCCTCACGTAGCTCCCCAGGCCATCCTGGGGGAGGGCCCCAAAGTGGGGCATTCTGAGTCTGTAGAGGGTAGGAGCTCCACCCACGTCGTCATGGGTGTGGAGCAGGCAGGCTGCATTCTGACTCAGCAAGGGATGCCAGCCTTAGGGCTTTTAATAGCAGCAGAAGTAAAGTACCTTTTTCTCTTCCAGAGTATTCTACCCTGATGAGGGGTAGAATGAGGGGATGAACAATGCATTTTTCCCTCCTTACTCTGTCAGTAAGGAGAAAACATTGGGGGATGAACAGACGCATTTCTTTTCTCCTAACTCACTAATGGAGAGAGAGCGTTGGCAGTGTTGAAGGTGATTGGGTGTTCACCAAACAAGTTCTTGCTGGATTTGAACCCCTGGCCCTAGTGGATGGTGCTGATATCTCGTTTGCACCAGAAACACAGGATCATAGTGAAAGGGGGACTGGCTTGGCTTCCGGATTTTTCCCCACCAGTCTTGTCACTGTGGTGGAACCAGCAGCTGCAGGCACGGGGTGTCCCATGTGCACTCCGATCCTGGCAAGGAGCCGGGTTGGAGCACCTTACCTTCACTCGTCTGATGGCAGGGGACAGAGATCTCTGGCCCTCTCTGGTGCTCCAAGAAGATGGGGTCTGCCCCAGCCACAGACCAGCGGAGCAAGTCCCCTCCCTGATCACATTCCTCCTTAACTGGGGAGAGAGCCCTTCGAGAGAGGGGGGCATGGGCACCACTGGTCCTCTTAGAGCAAAAGAAAAGTCAGCTCAGGCACGTGCTAAGTGAGCAGCAGTCGTGGATTGGTGGAGCGTGACTCTGGGATTCGTCTATGGAAGCCCCCAGCTTTGGTTCTTGGAGGTGTCACAGTCTGAGTTGAAGAGAGGCTGAACGCAGCGGCATCTCTTTTTGCAGACGCTCAGTGGCCACGAAGGAGCCGTGAAATGCCTGTTTTTTGACGAGTGGCATATCCTGTCGGGGAGCGCGGATGGGCTGGTCATGGCCTGGAGCATGGTGGGCAAGTACGAGCGCTGCCTGATGGCCTTCAAGCATCCAAGGTAGGTGCGCCGGAGGTGGGACTGACAAACCTGGTGCCCCCCACCTTCCCTGTCACAGCCTGGCCTGGGATCTCGGCCAGGCCTTCTGTCCCCTGCCGACCTCTCATCCTCTCCGTGCCTCACCCGCTTCTGCTTCCCTCCTTTTCTACCTGGTGCCCATTTTCCCCACCATCGCCTCTGTCTGGCCATTCCTTCTCCCCTCTTCCCTTGTTTCTCTTGAGAAATACTACTACTAGATGTGGGTTTTGAGAAGTTATTGGAATTTTATGTTTATGTTATGGCATACCTGTTATTGACCAGACATACGAATACTAGCAGAACCATCCCAAATAATGCCAGAAAATTCTTGGACTTGGTCTTTATCCAGGAAGCTTGTGCTCATAAAATCTTAAAATGATCCAAGTGCCAAAGGTTTAAAAACAGCTAGGGCCTTAAAAAGAAGAAACTAATACCTATACGTCTGTGGGCCAGATTCTATTTCAGGACAGCAAATGGATTTCATTTTACATTTCAATTCAAATTTAGTGGTGGCTGCTTGGAGCCAATTAATAAGTATTCTGAGGTCACATCTGGGCTTATCTGGAAAGGGTATTGTGGTCAATTAATGATTCTGCCGTGGTCATGGGTATCAGAGGCTGCTCTACATCACTCTTATACTATGTGAATAATGCACCTTCCCCTGAGTGCATTATAAAAATTTCCAGGAAACTAAATGCTATCTTTTTTTTTTTTATTTCAGCATATTATGGGGGTACAGATGTTTAGGTTACGTATGTTGCCCTTGCCCTCCCCGCCCCCCTAAGTCCGAGTTTCAAATATGTCCATCCTTCGGGTTAAATGCTATCTTAATTGATTTTAAAAGTGAGTGAAGTTTCCAGGGGATCTTTCAGGGTATATTTATATTTAGTAAATTATGGCCCTAGATATCCTTATTCCCTCCCAGGAACCTTTGAGGCAGGCACACTGGTCTTACGGAAGGTGTGAGGGGGATGCGTGTGTATGTGCGTGTCCTCCGTCTGTGGTGTATGACTGAATTATTGACAGGTGGCTGCCAGGAAGGGCCTGTGTTCAGTGATTTTGCCAACCCTTAGATAATTATCAGTGAGCCTTTTAGCATGTCATCTGGACTATCAAGCCTTGATCTCAAGGAGGGACTCAAACTTTATGACACCACCTGAAAATCACAATTGTATTTTTAAAACCTAAGCAGGATTCAGTAGGATTTAGTTAGTTATTGGAAAGTAATTTACTGCAAGAAAACCCAGCAATTTGGTCACCATTCCATCACTGCATGAGTCTCCCACTCCACTTCTGCTATGAGACCTCAGACAACACCTGTTTTCACTGAATGACACCCCCAGCATCCCGTTCACATTGGTTCTCGATGACAGAAAAGCCACAGACATCTGGAAGACATGGTCAGTGCTTTCATTTATAGGTCCCCTTCTCCCCCAAGTCCTCAAAAAATATATTTAACTGATCGCTAATGAGGACAAATTTGACAGATTGACTTTCTGGGGAGTTCTAATGATTGGCCTGATACCTATGTTTTGAATATGACATAGGTGAGAAAACAGATATAGCTTCTGTCCTTTGGTGGAAGAAGGGCTGGAGAAAGGGGTCTCCTTTCTGTTTTCTTGACCCAACATTGTTTTCAACCAAAATGAAGATTTTTCATATAGTGTGGGACAGAGTGGATATGAGAGAGGCATTTTGAGGTTGCAAAGTAGGACTGACAGAAATGATCTTTAGGAAAGCTTCTGTACTATATGGTGTCTTTTTTTAAAAAACTTTATTCTTCAAAATCTTTTCCATAGCTCATATTGTAATTAGGCTTTCTTGGCAATTTTTAATTAGGATATGATTCACATGACTTAAAATTCATCACTTTAGTGTACAATTCAATGGGTTTTTTTTAGTATATTTATAATGTCATCTAACCTTCACCATTATCTAATTATAGAACATTTCCATCAATCAGTAGAAATGTCCCATTTCATTCTTGACATTAGTAATTTGAGTCTTATTTCTTATTTTCTAAGTAAAGATTTGTCCATTGGCTAGCTAGAGGTTTGTTGATCTTTTTAAAGAACCAATTTTTGGTTCCATGGATTTTCTGTAATGTTTTTCAATTCCCTATTTCATTCATTGCTGCTGTAATCTTTATTACTTTTTTCTTCTTCTTGGTTTGGGTTTAGTTTCTTAAGGTGATCCTTTTCTAGTTTCTTAAGGTGAAAGTTTAGATTATTGACTGGAGATATGTGTGCATCCACTGCTATAAACTTCCCTTTGAGCACTGCTTTAGCTGCATCCCATAAGTTTTGATATGTTGTGTTTTCATTTACACTCATCTCAAAGTATTTTCTAATTTTCTTTCTGGTTTCTTCTTTGATTCAGTGATTATTTAAAAGCAGGTTGTTTAATTTCCACGTACTTATGAATTTTCTAAATTTTCCTCATTATTCATTTTTAATTTAATTCCATTGTAGTTGGAGAGCATACTTTGTATGATTTAATCTTTCAAAATGTATTGAGACTTGTTTTGTAGCCTAAAATATGGTTCATCCTGGAGAATATTCCGTGTGCAATTGAGATGAATGTGTACTGTGTTGTTGTTTGGTAGACAGTTCGGTATATGTCTGTTAAGTCTAGATAGTTTATGATGTTGTTCATCTCTTCTATTTCCTTACTGATCTTCTACCTAGTTGTTCTATCCATTGTTTAAAGGGTAGTAGTGAAGTCTCTGTCTATGATTGTTGAGTCATCTATGTATCTCTTTAATTCTATCAGTTTTACATTATATATTTTGGGGCTCTGCTGTGCATTTATAATTGTTATATATTCTTGATGAATTCACTCTTTTATCATTATATAGTATCTTTTTTGTCTCTATTAACAATTTATCTGAAAGGCTATTTTGTCAGATATTAGTATAACCCCTCCAGTTCTCCTATGGTATGAAATATCTTTTTCTATTCTTTGACTTTCAACCTGTTTGTTTGTGTCTTTGAATCTAAAGTGAGTTTCTTGTTAACAGCATATAGTTGGATAATGTTGTACTTATCTGTT